GGAGACCGACAGTGGGTATATAAAAACACACACACATACAACCTGAGGTTCATTTACTCTGAAATGACCCAAGAAGCTTAAAGGTCAAGGCTCTCACTCATAAGCGTTCTAGCTTAGAGTTCACAGGGGTTTTTGTGAGGTTCGTAAAATTTGTATGTTGTGTTCTTGTTAGAGGCTCCACAAAACCTGGGTTGTGTCTTGTACATGAGGAGAGGCAAGACAGAAGAATCACGCTTACGTTTGTGTTCCATTCTTGGGTTTAAGACGCGGCATCTCTAAGCCAGGAGAGGGATGGGGAAAATTGCTGAGATGAACCAGTGGACTCCGCCTCCCCCAGTGGCCCTCACCCAGCAGGCACCAGTTGTGTGGGCTCTGGTTTTTCTCTGGCCACTCGCGCCCCCTCTCGGGAGGAACTGGAACTGCGCCCCCACGGGAGCAAAATCCTGTTTGGGTCCCAGGGTTAGTGACAGCCTGAATCCTGGCGGCCTCTAATGGACTGTGAGAGTATTGTGAGTGAGTGAGTGAGTGAGTGAGTGAGTGAGTGAGTGAGTGAGTGAGTGAGTGAGTGAGTGTGTGTGTGTGTGTGTGTGTGTGTGTGTGTGTGTGTGTTCCTGTTTCGTTTATGAGTATGTATTCAGGTACTCACATAACTGTACACCACAATCCAGAAACTTCCACCCACGTCAGAGCTCTGATTAAGATCTTGTATATCGCTGAGCTACAGAGTGAGTTCCAGGACAGCCAGGACTGTTACACAGAGAAACCCTGTCTCCAAAAAACTGAATAACAATAATAATAAAATACACCTTTTTGTTTGTTTGTTTTTTCAGACAGGATTTCTTTATGTAGCCTTGGCACCTTTCCTGGAACTCACTCTGTAGTCCAGGCTGGCCTCAAACTCACAGAGATCTGCCTGCCTCTGCCTCCCGAGTGCTGGGATTAAAGGTGTGAGCTACCACCGCCCAGCCTTAAAATACACCTTTAAAAAGAAAACCCAGTATCTCAGGCTGGCCTTGAACTCTTGATGTAGCTGGGGAAGACCTTGAACTTTTGATCCTTCTCCCAAGTGCTGGGATTACAGGCAGGCAACACCACACAAAACCTAAAATCATCCTCAACTACAGAATCCAGGCCAGACTGAAGTACACTGAAATCCTCTCTCAAGAGAACAAACAAATACAGCTGACTGACAGAGTTCTGGGGGGGGGGGGTGTTGTGGTTCATAGTTTCCCAAGGTTGACTCTGTCACAGTGGGGAGGGCATGGAGGGAAAGCCGGCAGGAAGGGCCACAGCAGAAAGGGGCAGGGACAATATTTTCCCAAGGACCTACCTCCTACTTTCTTAAAGCTAGGTCCCATCTCCTAAAGTTTCCAGAACCTTCCAAAATAGTACCACCACCTGGAGGCCAGGAGCTAACACCACAAGCCTGTGAGAGACACTTTATATTCAAACCATAACACAGACCTTGTCTCATGATACAAACTGTCGGGCTAATGGTGTATCTTGGGTGGAGCATGTGCTTTACATGTTCTAAGCCCTGGGTTTGAATGAGGCCCAGCATAGAAACAAACCAGATCAGACACACACAAAGAATGAACCCATTGAGTGACCCGAGGGTTTTTTGTTGTTTTTTTTGTTTTTGTTTTTTTTTTTTTTTTTTTTTTGGTGGGGTGGGGGTGGGGGGAGGAATGTTTCTAAACAGTATTTTTTTATGTAGCCTTGGCTGTTCTAGAACTAGCACTGTAGACCGGGCTGGCCTTGAACTCAGAGATCTGCCTCTGCTTCTCCAATGCTAAGATTAAAGGCCTGTGCCACCATGGCCCAGCTGGTTCCAGTTTTTTGTTGTTTTTTGAGGCTAGGTCTCACCGTTGTAGCCCTGGGCAACCAGGAATTTGCTCTGCAGACTTGCATAGATTACGCTTGCCTCCCCTTCCAGGAATTAAAGGTGTGGGCTGCCAGGCTCCAAAGTTTGTTTTTGTTCGTTGTTGCTGAGATAGGGTCTCAGTCTGGCCCAGGCTGACCTGGAATTCACACTATAGCCCAGGTGGCCTTGAACTCATGCCTGTCTCTTCCCAGCTTTTTTTGTTTTTTTTTTTTTTTTTTTTT